CCAGAGTGGCCTGCCCCTCGGGCGCTGCGGACAGCCTTGCCGTTCAGAGGGCGGATGCGGCCTGTGACCCTCTCCGCACTTCTGGAGGGTCCACCCGCCCCTGCCTCGTCGGCGACGCCCCGCGGGGCTCGCCATCGCCCCCCCAGAGCCGCGCGCTGCCCCATCGGGGAGCGCGCGCGGGACGGCCGCAGCGCCCCAACGCTCCCAGCTTTCCCACGGTGGCGTCGGGGTGGCCCAGCGCGCGCGCTGTCCAGGTGGCTCTCCGCACCAGCGGCACGGCGCGTTCGCCCCACCGCGTCAGCCAGCTCCGGCCTCTGGAGCCCTCGCGGGGCTGCGGCTCCTCGGACTGCCCCCGGGGGGTCAAGAGGACCCCCCCCCCGAAACTCCGCCTCCGCCACAGGAGGGGGCGGCCGAAAGGGGCCCAGCGCTGGCCTCTCGGGACTCGGGTGCCACCCGCTCGATCCTCCGCCGTTTCGTGAGCCGCGCCCCCTCCTCCCATAGCAGGATGCCGTGGCCCTCCCCGGCGCGCACTCCGCCCGCGGGTCTGCCCGCCGTGGCGTGGCGGGCTCGCGCGCGAGGCTGGCCGCTCTGCCTCCTGCGGGCGGCCCTGGGGAGGGCCCTCCCGGACCCGCCCTCTTGGGCCGAGTGACCCGCCTCTCGCCGGTGAAGGCCTCGGAAGACAGCCCGGCACCCACCAGGAACCGCTCTCCGGCTCACACGGGGCCAGCCCCGAAGGCGCCTCGATCTCGGTCGCTGGCCCTCCAGCGCGGGCGCCCCGACGTCATTGGACGAGCAGGCCGCCGGTGGGGCCCCCCACCCCAAGGGCGCTCCGGCGGTCGTCGGATTCGTTGGCGGGGCGGCTAACTCAGACGCCCAACCCCTCAGGGGCTCCACGGCGCCCACGGGGCTGGTACCGCGGGCGTTGGGCTCGGCCCCCCCCCCCCACCCCACCGTGGGACCGAGGGTGGCGGCTTCAAAGAGCCACCGCTCTCTGCTGATGAAACTCTCGTGGGCCCCGACGGGGCCCTTGCATGCTCTGGGAGTTAGTCAGCCCACCCTGCCCGCCTTCAGCTTATGCCGAGCTCTTGCGCGATTCACAGTTTGTTGCGGAGGCTCCCTACTTTGGAAGCGAAGTTTTCTCCCCATCATAGAATGGTGTTATTGTCATTATTCAGACCGCGTTGACTCTTCCTCCCCAACCTACCTCCTCCTCCTCCTCACGCTCACACTCACACCCACTCGTCGCATTCAGACTCATTCATATTCAGACTCACTCGTACTCAGACCGACTCGCACTCAGACTCACCCATACTCAGATTCATTCATACCCAGACTCAGTCGCATCACTTCCCCCTCAGACTGACTCATACTCAGACTCACTCCTTCATTCACGCAGACTCAGTCACATCATTTCCTCATTCAGATCTACGCATTCTCAGAATCACTGACGCACACAGACTGTGAGGATGTCTCAGGCGAGGCGCTGGTTTCAGCATACTAAGGGGGATCTGCCAGGGGGTATCTCAGTTTTCCGTTCTCGCCCAGATTATGGGGATGTCTCAGGCGATTTGCTTGTTTGGATGCCCAACGTCTTTTGCTTTCAGAGCAGATTGTGAGGATGTCTCAGGCGAGGCGCTTTTCTGAGCACTCCAACGTGGAGCTGCCAGGGAGTGTCGCACTCCTCCGTTCGCGCCCGGATTGTGTGAATGTCTCAGGCGGTTTGCTTGTTTGGGTGCCCAACAGCCTTTGCTTTCGTAGCAGACTGTGAGTCTGTCTCAGGCCGCCAGCGGTGGGGACATTCCATGGTTCGCGTTCAAATTGGGGGGACGTCTCAGGCAGTTTGCCCCATCTGTTTCCGGATTTTTTTACCCATATCCAAAGAGATGGGGTTCTTGTTATTGGCAGACCGCGCTGGAGGAACACAGGAACACCCTCACCTCCTCTGACTCACTCATCACTCAGACTCACTCATCACTCGGACTCAGTCATGACTCAGGCTCATCACTCATCACTCAGACTCACTCATCACTCAGACTCACTCATCACTCAGACTCACTCGTAATTGTACTCATACATTCACTACATTCACTCAGGTCCACTCATCGGATGACTCACACACACTGATGTTGAGGATGTCTCAGGCGATTCGCTCAACGCAGCACTCTAAGGGGAGCGGCGGGGGGGTATCTCACGGGGTCCCGTTCGCGGAATTTTGTGGGGATGTCTCGAGCGGTTTGCTTGTTTTCTGTCCCAACATCCTTCGCTTTTGGAGCAGATTTGGAGGATGTCTCGAGCGAGGCGTTCATTTTCACGTTCCTAAGGGGAGCGGCGGGGGGGTATTGCACTCGGCCCCTTTCGCGGGATTTTGTGGGGATGTCTCGAGCGGTTTGCTTGTTTTCTGTCCCAACATCTTTCGCTTTCGGAGCAGATTTGGAGGATGTCTGGAGCGAGGCGCTCATTTTCACGTTCCTACGGGGAGCGGCGGGGGGGTATTGCACTCGGCCCCTTTCGCGGGATTTTGTGGGGATGTCTCGAGCGGTTTTCTTGTTTTCTGTGCCAACATCCTTCGTTTTCGGAGCAGATTTGGAGGATGTCTCGAGCGAGGCGCTCATTTTCACCCCCCAGATGGGCCAGATTTTGATGATGTCTCGATCGGTTTGCTTGTTTTGGTGGCCAGGCTCGTGGGCGCAGATTCTTCTCAGGATGCCACAGGGGGCTCCAACAGGCTCCAGGAGGCCCCAGGAGACCACATGAGGTCCCAGGAGGCATCAGGAGGCCACAGAAAGACTCAAGAGGCCACAGGATGTCCCAAGAGGCTCCAGGAAGCCCCAGGAAGCTCCAGAAGGCCTCAGGAAACCACAGGAGGCCCCAGGAGGCAACAGGAAGCGCCAGGAGGCATCGGAAGGCAACATGAGGCCCCGAGAGGCCCCAGGAGCAGGAGGCCTCAGAAGGCAACAGGAGTGGCTCCAATCCCATGTGTTTTACGTATGCTCCAATCGATTGGGCCTCACCTGGAGCACGATTCTTTGATGTTATACGCATGTTTCTATATATTGTCCTTCTCCTGTGTACACAATCCTACATGTTTTGCTTATGTTCCTATATATCGGGCCTCTCCTGGGGCACGAGTCCTTGGTGTTTTACGCGTGTTCCTATATATTGCCCTTCTCCTGTGGCTCTAATCCGCAATGTTTTATGTACGTCTGTTGCTATATATTGCGCCTCTCCTGGGGCACGAAACCTCCCTAGGAGGTCCCAGGAGGCCCCAAGAGGCTCCTGGAGACCCCAGGAAGCCCCAGTAGGTTTCAGGAGGCCCCAGGAGGCCCCAGGCTCATGCACAAAGACGCGCTCGTACTACTGAGGCTCATTCACACTCCAATTCATTCGCAGTTAGATTTATGTCCAGACCGTCACAACTGAAGCCCGTGTATATTCGAAAGCTCTTGCGCCTAGACATTCACGGCGGACAGGTCCATGCGAATAGATGCACATATAGGGAGCTCCACGCAGTGAATTATTTTGTTTGTCTTTTTGTGTAGTCCACTGCTGGCCGCGAAATGGCAGGCGTGGCACTTGGGCACCCTAGTGGGGAGCCGCCAGGGGTGAGGACACTGAAGGATTCGCGTTCATATTCGGGGGATGTCCCAGGCGGTTTGCCTGTTTTTTGCCCCCCAGAACTTTTTCGCTCTTGTGCTCCAGTGCTCACGGTGCTATAACAGGCGATGCATTTGGGCACCCAAAGGGGAGCCGCCAGGGGTGGGGACACTCCAGAATTTGCGCTCAGATTGGCGGGATGTTTCAGGCAGTTCGCCTGTTTTTGCCCCCCAGATTTTTTTTGGACGTGTGTGCTCTTCACTCACTCACTCACCTACTCCCCATTTTCCCATTATCCCCAGTCTGACGTAGTCATTCGCACTCGGACCTCCTCATCATCACCTCTTCCTCGCTCATATTCACTCATCACATTCAGAGTCGCTCATATTGATATTCCATCATCCTCAGACTCATCCTCATTCTCAGACTCGCTAGAACTTAGACTCACCCACACGAAGACCAACTCACACCCGTACTCACGCACGAACATATTCACCAGCCTTCATATTCACTCATGCTCAGACTACCTCGCACACAGGTTCACTCATACTGTGTTTTTATCGCGCTCAAGCTCAGACTCACCCACACAGACTCACTCACATTCAGATCCGCTCGCACTTGGACCCGCTCGCACTAAGACTCGCTCGTACTCAGACCACTGGTACTTATGCTGACTACATCCGGACTCACCTGCACCCACGCTCGATCGTACCTGGATCCACTCACGCCCCGACTCGCTCACGCTCGGATCACTCACGCTTCGATTCACTCGCCTTGAGGCTCACACACCACTGGTGACCGCGATGTAGCAGGCCTGGCACTCGGGCACCCCAAATTCTAGCAGGCGCCGCGAGTAGCACGCCAGAGAACGAGTGCAGTAACGCCCTGCGCGCTTGCCTGAGTTGCCGCGGGGAGAACGGCATGAGGAATTTCCCTTTGCTCTTTCACTTCTCCCTCGACTCCCTTGAGATATGTCCAGAGGAGGAGGAAGAGGAGGGGAAGGCGGAGGAGGGGGAGGGGGAGGAGTAGGAGGAGGAGGAGGATGAGGAGGAGGAGAAGGAGGAGGAGAAGGAGGAGGAGGAGGAGGAGGAGGAGGAGGAGGAGGAGGACGTCACTGATGCCGTCGCTGCCGTCGTCGTCATTGCCGCGTCAGTCGTCGACGCGGACTCGTTGTCACATCCAGATGCTCATAGACAGAGCTCCTCAGCGAAACGTGGCGGGATATTGATATGCACATATGGGGATCTCCAACGTTGAGTAATTGTTGCCGCAGCGGTCTTCCCCCCCAGGACCCGCTGACGGCCCTTGGGACCTTCATCACCTCTGGGGCCGTGAAGGGTCGTCTTCGGGGCCTACTGGGTATCTTTGGGCCTTCATAGGCTGGTCTTGGTGCCGTCTTGGACCAGTGCGGCTAACTGGCATCTTCGTGGACACGGCCCTCGAGAGGCTCGCCCCAGACCGGGAGGCCATGGCCCTGAACCATCGCAAGGAGGAGGAGTTGGTGGCCGAGGAGCTGCGTGCTCTGTGGAGGGAGGTGGCCGGGGGCGACGACTTTCTTTCGGCCGAGGACTTCCACGAAGGCATTACTGGGGACAAAATACCTCCCCGGCTTCAGCACATGGGGCTCTCCGTCGACAACGTCAACCAGTTCTTTGGCGCCCTGTGGAAGGGCTCGGAGGACGGCAATGTGCGCATAAACAGCTTCGTGGGCGGCTGTATGCGGCTGAAGGGCTCGGCCTCCAGCTTCGACATCCAGGAGCTGCGGTCGGAGGTATTCGCCATAGGCAGAAAGGTAGACCGCGTGGGGTTGGGGCTGATTCGCGAGTAGGGTTTCAGAGAGGTCCTCGGAAGCCGGGTCCCCGAAGGTCTCCGTCTCTCCCTTCGCTTGCAGGAGGATGCGCACGCCTCTGCTGCGCTTGGCGCGCAGGATATTCCAAGTCTTCGGCCCAGCAGTTGTTCAGGATCGTCGCCCCCGCTGCTATGCCGCCTTGACAGAGTGCTCCTCGTCGCTCAAGTCTCAGCGACGACGGTTTTTCCTTCTCCAAGGCTGCGTTCGCGTTGCCAGCATGGTCGCTCGCCCAGGGCGCTCAGGCCGTGCTGTTCTGTAGCTGGGAGGCCGCTGCGCCCCGCTCGCCGCTCTTGGACTAAGCCGCCTCGCGGCCGCGTCCCCGCGGGAGGTCGGAAGTGCCCCCTGCCCCGGTGCAGCGGCCTGCCCGTCTTCACGCGCTGCCGTTCTCCAGCCTCATCTTCGGCAGCCTACCCATTGGAGCCGGCGGGGGGCCTGAGGTGGCTCGGCACTGGTTCGGGCGGGCAGGAAAGGGTGGGAGGGTCGAGGTGCTGGGTTCGGGATGGCTTTTTTTCTGTGGTTGTTGCTGCTGCCTTTTTCGGCCTCTGGCGGCCGTTTTCGGGCCGCGGGACCGTCAGAAACGGATCGGGGGCGAGAAATTGCACCAGATGGGCCCTCGGAGGGGTCCAGGGACCGATTTTGGGCGGATGTGGGCGCATCTTCTTTCCTGACCGATCTTCTGGGATCCCAATCAGTCCAAACCTCCCGGCCGCCTCCAATCTGCCCACATCCCGCCGCGCGTGCGCAGCTCTTCGGTTGGCACTGGCTGCGCAGCCAGGGTAAATCCGTATGGAATTTGTCGGAAACTGGAGCATCTACATCAACAATGGCGGGCTGTTTTTCCCCAGACTTTTGAGGGTCGGGGACGACGTCGGGGTGGTGTGGTGTGTTTTTTTTCCAGTCTTACCGGGGAAATGACAAAACATGTATACACCAGGATCCTGTATACACCAGTATCCGCTTCCTTTTGCAAGTTTCAGTGCGGGGCCGGACAAGGCGTCGGTGTACAGAGTTCGGCTCTTTACATCGGTGCGAAATTTGAGGGGTGCATCGTTTCGTAAGGCGTGAACGAAACGCTAAGACGCACACCGCAAGTCGCGATGTCTTCGGGCTGGCGCGCGCGCGGACCTGTCCCTGGGTCCCCGTGTGCTGACTCTCCAGTGACATCGACGTGGCGACAGCACCACTGTGGAATGAGTTGGAACATTGTTTTGTGAAGCGTGAGTGCTCCTGACAGTAGCGACCCTTGCCAGCAGCACGCAGTAGTTGCTCTTTCTCCGGCGCTCCGGCCCCGCCCCGCTGAGTCGCCTCGCGTGAGCACTCTTGCGGGCACCGTCAACCACAAAAAACGAAGAGCTGGTCGCGCGCTTGCGAGCGCGACCCGTCTGCCTCGTTGTGTTGGCCTGGGCTATGGCTCCGTGTATTTTTTCCGTGCGGTGCAGTGCCGAATCGGAAAATCATTGTCGCTGCCTTGATGGGGCACAGGTAATTCGAATATCCACATCATCGATCCTCGACTCCTCTTTCTCCTGAGGAGGGCGAGGAGGCACCGCGTCCTGCCCCCGTCTGACCCCCTGACCCGAGGGCGACAAGTGTAAGGCCGACGGTTCGGAGGAGGGAGGGAGGGAGAGGGACGAGGCTTCTTATGCTGCTTCACAGCCACCGTGCGTTGACGGCGCTCCAACACACGGACGTGCGGTGCTCTCACGGGATGAGTTTGCCCCTATGATTATTGCCGATTGCGGAGCATGTTCACGAAAATGATAGGAATCACTTAGACCCATGATTATGAACGACGCTGCAACACACCCTCCCATCCCGAGTCTTCTCCGTATACGTCTTTCCAGGCATGTCTTTTCACTGCGGGGCAAAACGAGCACTCCACGGGCGTAGTTTTTTACAAGGGATTGGCCTCAGGAACGCGAGGATTAATGACAGTAAAATTAAAGGAGGAGAGGAAGGCTCAAGGGAGAGGTACACTTTGAAAGTGAACCGCCCCATTTCACTTCTGGTCGTGAATTTTCAGGGCGTCTCAAGCGATAGACACACATTCGGTATGTATGTATGTATGTATGTATGTATGTATGTATGTATGTATATATATGGGTTTATGTACGCATGTATGTATGTATGCATGCATGCATGCATGTAGTACGTATGTATGTATGTCTGCTGTATGCATGTATGCAGGCATGTATGCATGTATGCATGCATGCATGTATGCATGTATGCATGTATGCATGTATACATGTATGCATGTATGCATGCTTGTATGCATGTATGTATGTATGCAGAAATGTATACATGTATGCTTGTATTGTATGCATGTATGAATGTATGTCTGTATGCAGTTATGTATGTATATATGCATGTATGCATGAATGTATGCACGTATGTATGTATGCATGAGTGCATGTATGTATATATGTATACATGTACGGATGCATGCATGGATGCATGTAGGTAAGTAGGTAGGTAGGTACGTATGCATGCATGCATGCATGCATGCATGCATGCATGCATGCATGTATGCATGCATGCATGCATGTATTTATGCATGTATGTACGTAACTACGTACGTATGTATGCATGTATGTACGTACGTATGTATGTATGTATGTACGCGTTATGTATATATATATATATATATATATATGCTCAGATTTGGTTCGGGCGATCCATCGGGCATTTTTCATCGACAGTGGGTTATCCCCCAGCGGTTTCTCGTTGCTCCTTGCCCCACTCCCTACCCTGCAGCAGTGGCATTGGCATCTGGTTCGATTTCTGGGGGGGCAATAGCATTCATTGACTAGAGAAGAATTGAGACAAGGTAGTAGGATTGGAGAAGAGTAGAGAGGAGAGAAGCGCAGAGTGGAGCAGGTGCATTACCAGAGTAGAACAGAAACACAGACGAGCAGAGTATATAATACGTAACACGTTCCTGCTTCGACTGCCCGAGTAGAGTCGAGTGGTAGAGTCCAGGCTGGAGCATGATAGTAGACATGTGTACTGAACAGCAGTGGACGAGTCACACTGGATGTTCGGCCATGAGCTGGAACATGCGAGATCAGCTATTTTGGGGAAGAGAGGCTAGACGAATAGAGGATACACTAAGCAGAGCTGCAAGAGGAAAGAGGCGAAGGAAGAGTGGGGTAGACGAGTAGATGATAGGTGATATATTTTGTAGAGATACATGTATGTATCTACGCAAAGGGGGTCAGTAGTCGGCATCATAGAACTCCCAGAGGGCCTGACCAGTAAGACCCATGGGGGACCAAATGGTCATTCGCATGGTTTTCAATTTAGAGCCACTGAAATCGCTGATTTCGTGAGTTGAACTCAATGCAAAACAATGCGAATGCCTAGGATGGTCCGTCTTCACAAAATGAGCCTTTCTGATGGTGCCGTATTTGGTGCGAGGTGCTTATGATGGCCCCTCTGGGTGTCTGTGAAGACGGCACTTGACGACCAGCAGGGGAGTGGGCCCCGTTCGCGGTCAATGAGAGAGCATGCTACGCATGGAATGGTTTCAATTATATAACAATGAGCTGGTAGATCGTGACGAGGCAGCTACGATGCCCTCTTCGAACACCGCTATGATGTGGATCCGACCCCGAACCGCGTTGAAGAAGACGTTGATTGCGAAGGCCCATGATGGTCCTTCTTCCCAGTACGATTCGTTATGATGGTCTCGGATGGTGTGTTCGCAGACCCAGGCCTTGACTGCAAAGGCCTATGATGGTTTTTCCCCACATCCAAAGTGGGGTTCTTGTTTTCTCTGGACACCCCGCGCAGGAGCAGGAACCCACCATCATCATCATCACTCATTCCTCACTCACTCACTCACTCACTCATCATCCCTCACACACTCACTCACTCACTCACTCACTCACTCACTCACTCACTCACTCACTCACTCACTCACTCACTCACTCACTCACTCACTCACTCTCATCAGCACTCACTCATGATGATGATGATGATGATGATGATGATGATGATGATGATGATGATGATGATGATGATGATGATGATGATGATGATGATGATGATGATGATGATGATGATGATGATGATGATGATGATGATGATGAGTGTGCGCGTGAGAGAGTGTGATGATCATCATCATCATCACCAGTCAGTCAGTCAGTCAGTCAGTCAGTCAGTCAGTCAGTCAGTCAGTCAGTCAGTCAGTCACTCACTCACTCACTCACTCACTCACTCACTCACTCACTCACTCACTCGCCTTGGGCCTCGTCTGTGAGTGAATTGCGAGGAAGTCTCAAGCGGGAGCCCCCTCCCTATGGGGCCCGCGGATCATGTTACTAATCCGAGCGGGTCATCCAATTCCTGTAACTGTCGCCACTTTTGGGCTCTCGCGCTGCCAGAACGCCATTCCCAGGCCACATGGGCCTCGTCTGTGAGTGAATTGCGAGGAAGTCTCAAGCGGGAGCCCCCTCCCTATGGGGCCCGCGGATCATGTTACTAATCCGAGCGGGTCATCCAATTCCTGTAGCTGTCGCCACTTTTGGGCTCTCGCGCTGCCAGAACGCCATTCCCAGGCCACACTTTGAATGCCCGGAGCCAACTGTAGGCCACTTCGTGTTCTTCGTGCTCCCAGAACACCATTTCCCAGGCCACATTTTGAATGCCCGGAGCCAACTGTAGACCACTTCGTGTTCTTCGTGTTCCCAGAACACCGCTCCCGGGCCACATTCTGAATGTCCGGAGCCAACTGTAGGCTTTTTGTGTTCGTCGTCTTCCTAGAGCGCTATTCCCGGCACGTATCCCCGCGCCAGGGCGAGAAGAAATATACGCAGAAGAGACAGCCAGGACGCCTCACCAACCACGAGGACGACGGTGAGGGCTTTTTTCCAGATTCGCCCAGAGGATTCTCATGTGGGGTCATTCCGTCGGAGTAATTCATTCCCAGGCAAGCGGGGATGCCTCCCAGGTGCCCTGTTAATGGTCGAAGCGCGGTCGAAGTGGATCCGAAGATGAGCCGAGACCGTCCTGAGACGTCCAAACAAATCTCCCGTTGCTGTCTGCTCTCTCTCAGAGGCCTGGAGGTTGACGCACCAACACCAACATCGATGGCGTGCCTCCACCGAGGGAAAATAAGCCCGATCTCGGTGATGGTCGTACTATTCGGGCTTCCCAGGTGGCCGAGAGGTTACCACCGCCACCAAGATCTGGAATCGTCCTCCCCCTGTGGGGCAGCCCCCCGTGTTCGTGTTGGGTGCCCAATGTGCAGGCCTGCATCGCTTCTCCCTCCTTCGTAGACCTCCCTGCTTCTGGCCGAGCCGCATTGGGCTGCCTGGAGCATGCTGCGCTGGCAGGACTGCCGAAAGAAGTGTTTCGGGGAAACGTAAGGCTCGAGCAAGCCGGAACTCGGGTTTGCCGACGTTTTTTGACGAGTGCGTCCTGGATTTTGACGGTCCAGTTTTCGTGGGATGTCTGCAGCGGGAGCTCGCGTCAAATTTCAGATTGGGTCTCGTCATTTTCATGATGGCCCTGTCGGGACAACCCGAGTCCCCTGTACCCGAGTCTTACGTCTCCCCGCGGGGTTAAAAAGACCCATGCGCTCGAAGACTCTCCTAATCTCTTGGGCTAATCTCCGAGATGGCTCAGCGGAGAGCCTCCTGAAAAGCCGAAGACGCCAGAAATTCGTCATTGGTTTACGCGCATGTGTGTGGTTGCAGCTTGTTCGGTTGACACGGTTTCGATACGGCCTACAGGAGCCTAAGAGAGGGTCCAAGATCAACCCTTGGGGACTCCCTGACGGCCCCAAATGGCTCCGAGACTAAAGGTCCCCCACTGGCAGCCCCCCAGAGCTCCCAAGGGACGCCAGGAGGCCCCCAGAGACCCCAAGAGCCCGAAGAGGCCCTAAGAGAGCCTCCACAACTCCAAGAGGGTTCCTTCTCCTCCTTCCTTCTCCTCTCAAACTTGCCCTTCGACCCTGACCCCTCCCCCCTTCTTCGCCTCCTGCGATCTCCGTCCTGCGTTGTTCCTCGTTCCTCCTGCGCGTGCTCCGCCAGCTTGCGTGACAGCGCGCGCATTTCATTCTGTGTCTAGGCAGTTTGCCTTATCACCAACTTTATCATCATTTTGTTCTTTGCTGCCTACTTCTTGTTCTTTTGTTGCGTGCTCCGCCAGCTGGTGTGACAGCGCGCGCATTCTGTTTCAAGGAACCAGGCTGGGATCACGGTCGATTCTGACACATATGCTGTCGGTTCACTGTGTAGGCCTGCTCGTCGTCCAGTTTGCTGGCAGGTTTTTTTAGCCCCCCTGGTGGTCTGACCCGCCACCTTGTGGAGAATGTGGGTAGCTGCCTGATTGATGACAAGACAAATCCTCGTCCCTCCGTCCTCCGGCTCTCCTCCTTCATTCTTTCTGCACGTGCTCGGCCAGTCGGCGTGACAGCGCGCGCATTCTGCTTCAACGCAGCTTACCTTGGCGCGTATCACCAACCTCCTGGCGTTCTTAGCCGCCCATGTTTCTCGTATCCTACCCTTCTCGTAATGCATGAGCCGCTTTATCGAGATGTGAGTTGGGACATTGTACACATCATCTAAGCGTTTTCTTAGTGGTGCCGCTCAACGGGTGACATGTAGCCTTCGCGCCAAGGTCCGCGGAAACCGCACTGAGTCGACGGGAGGCAGCCGAGAAGTACAAGCAGACGATCCAAAATACGGTTGGACCAGCGCTCCAATGTTTTGCAGCATTGGTCAACATATGTATGCTTGTATCGATATATATATATATATACACATATATTTAGTTATATATCTGCATCTGATTATTTTAGGCATCTTTATACGTGTGTATACACACATATATATACATATAATACATATCTGCCGTTTTGGATACGAGAATGATGTTGTCTGGCTGTATTTGATTTAATGAGCGACAAGGTTTTTGGGTTCAGGGCGGCCTTCCTTTTCACCCCCCCCCTCGGCCCACTTTGGCCCCCGGGGTCCGGGTTTCGTGTCTGGGGCTCCGTTGGTTAGTTCGGCTTCCAGACGGAGGCTTCCACTATGTATCAGGAGGCCGCCGAGACGATCCAGCATGGCCCAAGGCGCTCCGCGATGTTTCCAGGGAGCCCTTTCAGGAGCCACAAGATGCTTCGAGACGCTCGAAGAGGTCCAAGAGAGGCCTCGGACAGCCCCGGACAGGGGGCAGCTCGGAGCGTCCACGGCTGGCCCACCACCGCCCGCGGACGCCCCCGAGACTAGCCCAGAGGGGGCCCGGTAGGTCTGGGTTCGGGAGGGTGGCGGACTCTATTTTTCTTGTGGGAGGAGAATATATTCCCTGCGTTCCCCGTGCTGCAACCTAATGTTTGCAAGTTGTGTGGTGAAAATGGTGGGGCGAGGTGCAAGCGATGCGGTGCAAGTTTTCGGGCCCAATCTACGAGATGTAGCCAATGTGGTGCAGCAATTTGCTGAAGATTCTTGGGTCGCCAACTCCAGCGCCCCAGCAAGCATCCCACCCACCCACCCGCAACCACCTGGCAATAACTCAACTGGCGCAGTGCCGCGAGGACCATTATCGTGCAGACCCATGGCTCGGGCGAACGAGTGATGACGGCAACGTCGGCATCGGCGACGACGACGGTGATGAGGATGGTGCTGGCGATGATGACGACGCCGCTCAATCGCACAATTGCTGTGCCCCATCCATGCTGTTGCGCGGGCTGCGTTGCCTAGACCTCGGCACCACCCGAGCAGATGCATGCCGTGCGTGCGTCGGCCGCGCGAGGGCGACGCGCACGCTCGGAAGTCTCACCGCATGAGCTCCGTGGCGGGCGTCTTCTGGCCATGCCGCTCGGGCAGGCCGGTGCCGCTCCCAGAACGGCATCTCCCGATGTCTGTGCACCGCATGTTCGGGTCGGACGTGTGTCTCCAACAGAGGCGCATCGCCTCAGTATGTCCTCACGCACCCCCGTGTTTCCCAATTAGGCCTCTTTCCCCCCCTCTTTGTTAATCCAAGCTTCGCGCGGCCCGCTTAGCTTCGACCGGAAGAGGTGCGCTCTCGACCCGCGGATCAAAAAAGTTCGGGTCGGACGTGTGTCTCCAACAGAGGCGCATCGCATCAGTGTGTCCTCACGCGCCCCCGTGTTTCCCAATCAGGCTTTGCTCCAGGGGTCTTACCCGTCTTGCGAAGAGCTGGTGGGTGCGACGGCCCAATCCAGAGGCGGGCCTCTGCCTGGCTCCGCTCCCTGGCCTCGGCTTCCTGGCTGCCATGCTTCGGCTCTGCAGCCTTGTTCCTTGGGCTCCCGTGTCCTTCCTCGGTTCCCTGGTCTTGTTCCTTGCCTTCCTCTCTGCCCACTCCCTCCTCCTCGTCTTTGTCATCCTTCCTCTTCGTTCAGGTCGTGTCACGCGTTTAGCGGCCAGGCGTGCTGTTTCGCAGTGCCGGCTGTTGTGTGAGCTGCTTGAGGCTTGTCGAAGGGTGCGGAGTTCGCTGTATACAACATGTACGTGCGTAATACTTGTATAGATGTATTTCGCACACATATGTACATCTACAGACATACGGTAAACAACACGTTCCTTGCCTTCTTTTCTCAGGCTCCCTGGACGTGTTCTTCGGGTTCCCTGGTCTTGTTCCCTAGGTTCCCTGGTCCGTGCAATGTTAAGCAATGCCAAGCACTGCCGACCAATGTCAATGAATGTCAAGCATGGCTTGCATTGATCAGAGCTTCTTATACTCGCCTTGGAAGCAGAAGATCTCTACTTTGGGTCGCGCCGGGTTCTTTTTCTTTTCCCTTTCGCGTTTCCATTCGGTGACCGTTTGCCCATCGCGTCGAAGATATAGGGTCATATCCATCATCTGAGTGAATGCAATCGAGTAAGTGTAAGGCAGTTGGGGTGGGAAGGCAATGTAGAAGAAAGCGCAATGCTAGAGACGCGCGCGCGCGCAGGGAGGGGGAACAACTAGGGGCGGGAGCATAAGGGTCGCGAAGAGCATCATGAAGGGAAACGAGTATAAGGAGGGGAGGAGGAGGAAGAGCAAGAACATGAAGGATGTCTTCAATGGCACTGGTCGGAATAGCGTTGTAGTTTTTTTGGTCCGCACGCGGCCGCCATGCCACGGTTGTCTCTCACCTGTCCGCGCCGTGATGTCGCCGCTGCATGGGCCGCCGCCCTGGCAGCTGCTGTTGTGCCCGCTGCGCGAGGCTGGTCATGGTCACCCTCGCCACCGCCATCGGACGCAGACGTAGACGTAGACACCTGCGCATGGTCTGGAGCTGGCAGCAGCTGCTCGGCCCTTCCGTTCCCGACCGACCTGCAGGAGCAGAGACGGGCGTTGATCGAGTTTTTCGGGCCCCCCCACCGCCGCGAGGATGAATGGCTCCTCTCTGGGGGGGCGACGCCGCAAGCGGCAGAGGAGATGCGCGGCCCGTTGGTGACGGACAACGTGCGCCGAGCATGGCATCAGCTGGCTGCGGACGGCACGACCTCCGAGACCAGCCTGCACGAGGTGCGCGCTCACTTCGCCTGGCGCTACCACACGCACCTCAAGTTGGTGCTGGGCGATGCTGGAGCGGAGCAGGCTGCCAGGACGGTGCTCGATGCGGTGGCAGGCGATGCCTCTGCGGGCTGCGTGAGGGCCGGCCTGACGCTGATCCTGGACGGCTCCCGCACGGCGGACGCGGTGCAGGCGCTGCGCGACTGCACGCAGTCCTGGCCGGGTGACTCCATGGCGGCGCTGCGCTTGGGGCTGGCCCTAGTGGGCATGGCCGGCGATCCGCAGGGAGCCTTTGCACTGCTGCAGCCCCACGCGGAGCGTCAGGAGCCGCCGCCCGACGCGCTGGTGCTGGCCATGTACGGCTTCCTCGCCGCAACTGGGCGCCTGGGCGCTGGGGCGCAGTCCCACGGCGTGCGGAGCTTCCAGAGGGGCGTCGAGACCGGCTCTGGGCACGGCGCCGTGGTCTGCGCGCTGTTCAGCCAGCGTCCACGGCGCGGTGCAGTTCGACGTGTGCCAGAGGGTCTTCGAGCTGGAGCGAGACCTCCTGTTCAAGCCTAGCAACTGCGAGCGGCGGCTGGAGCTGGCCCTGCTGCTGCACGGGCTCAAGCAGCCCGCCTTCGTGACCGAGGGCGCCCTGCTGCTGTCCCGGCTGTCCTTCGAGTGCCCCGCGCTGGCGGAGAGTTTGTCGGTGATGGGTCAGGCGTGGATCGACCCCACAGACGAGAAGACCGGCAAAGTCGGCCTAGGCAACGACGTCGCTGCCGTGGCCGAGGTCCGGAGAGGCCTCCGCGACGCACAGTATGCAATGTGGCATGCCAACGTGCAGGCGTCGGACGGGCCTGGAATCGAGACAAGTCGAGTCTCAGAGCGTCCCCCTGGAACGCTCTCAGAGCGTCCCCGAACGCTCTGAAGCAGCCGCGGCGCCCGATACATCGTCGTCGTTTTCTTATTCATTGCTTTGCCGATCGGGGTGGGCCCTCGCCCCCACCCCCCCCACTTGAGTAGATCTTGCCTGTTTTTGGCGCCTCTTTCAAGCAGGCGGACTCTCCCCTCATAGGACGCACTGCTGCACACAGTCGCATTAAGCGGAGGTCAGGAACCAGACCCCCCTCACTCCCCCCCTCCGCCCAGTGTCCAAACGCCGAGTTTCAGAAGACGTTCACATGCATCCTCCGAACCCGCCGATTTTCAGAGATCTCCGATTTCTGTCGGTCCGTCCGATCTTGTCTCGATCCTGCCCTCGTCTTTGATGGTCCTGTCTTCCACCACCACCACCACCACAAGTTGGAGAGCGAGGGGGGTCCTCCTCCTCCTCCTCCTCCTCCTCCTCCTCCTGCTCCTCCTCCTCCTCCTCCTCCTCCTCCTCCTCCTCCTCCTCTTCGCCCTCCTCCTCCTCCTCCTCCTCCTCCTGCTCCTCCTCCTCTTCCTCTTCGCCCTCCACCTCCTCTTCGCCCTCCTCCTCCTCCTCCTCCTCCTCCTCCTCCTCCTCCTCCTCCTCCTCCTCCAGCTTCTGGTGGTGGGGGTGGAAGGCAGGCCCATCAGCCTCGAGGCGGGCCGGCGCGCCCCCGAGACTGCGCACCTCGAGGTGCTGCGGGCCGCTCGGCACGTGGGCCGCCGCGTGCGCAGCGGCTCGGCCCGGGCGAAGGCCTGCGAGCGGCGCACGCCTCCGCCCATGGCGCGCCCGCCGCGGAACGACTCGCTGGGCTGCCCAAAGGTTTCTCGGGAGGAAGAAAACACAGAGACAGAATGGGTCGTCGGTTCCCAGGCAGATGTGCCAGGATGTGGGAAGTCGGGGGGAGGACAGAGACCCTGAAGATGTGGGGAAATAGGGGGCATCCTGTCATTTGTGCGTATCTATTTGTGTGTCCCGGGCCCCCTTCAGTTTCGGCAGCAAATCGTGGGCCTCGTTCACGCTCGCAGTTCCGTTCTCAGAGTGCATTCGCGTCGATGGGTCAGCGCCAATGTAGCGTCGATTGTCGCGTCGACCAGCGTGGGTTCGCATGAGCCAGCAAGATTCGGCGGCGAGCGAGTGGGGGAAGCGAGGAGTGGCGGGCCTTCTCGGAAGGCTCGGAAGCCCCCCCGGCCTTCTGAGAGGTTTCGCAAGTCTTCCCCGGAGACACCGGACACCTCTCAGAAGGCGCGTTGGGCTTCTGAGAAGCACCGCCGCCTGCTGAGAAGGCCTTCTCCTTCTCGCCTCCCCCCCTCGGTCGCCGCCGAAAGATGGCATGGGAGGCTCCCACGATCACCGAGCGCGCTCCACTACTCGCAAAGTGCCTACTCGCAAACGTCCGAGAAACACATGCCTGCCTTGATGTAATTTATGGTAGATCCCCCTCGGCGAATCCAGGCCATTTGCGAGCAGTTACTTTGCGAGTAGTGGAACGCGCTCGCCTACACGAGTTGCCACCGAACGAGGTCGCGCCGGGAAGCTTCAAGGCGGAGTGCCTGCTCAAGGGGCGGCCCTGCATCCTGCGCGGGCAGGCCGCCGCCTTCCTGCGCAGGCGCGAGGGCGGCCTCGGGTCGCTCGACCGGTGGCTGGACGTGGCAGCAAACGCGACGGTGTCCGTGGCCTTCCCGTTTCCCGCGACGCATCCAGACGGCATGCCCACGCTGAACTCGATCCAGGAGACGGCAAAGTTCCTCGCCCAGGACGACGTGCGGCTCGACCTGGAGCGGATGGGCCTGCCAGCGGCCGACGCCGAGGAATTCCCGTGGACGTTGGTACGGCCGGCCACGTGGGCCATGAGGCTGCAGGACGCGGTGGCGTGGGTGCGCACGGATCCGCAGGAGGTATACATGAACCAGGCCATGGTGGCCGACCTCGGCTCTGCTGCAGTGGGGGAGCTCAGGGAGCCCCGCTGGGTCGCGAAGGCTTGGGGCATTTTCGATCCTGTCGATGCGGCCCGATGTGTGCATGGCGCTGTCGCACATCCTGGCGCAGCCGATCCGATTCGATTTCGATCCCGTGCCGATGCGGCCTGGTACGATGCACATTCCGATTCGATCCGATTTTACGATTCGCTGCTAAATTGATCCTGCAAAGGCAGGCCTGCGGCTGCTGAGCCCGTCCTTGTGGCTGAGCTCGGGCGCGGTGACCACGGGCTTCCATACGGACGGCCCCGACAACCTGCTGGTGCAGCTCTCCGGCAGGAAGGACGTGCTGCTCTCGCGGCCCTCTGAGCAGAAGAACCTCTACTATTTGCCCGCGTTCGACGTGCAAGCAGGCCCGCAGGGCATCGAAGAAGAACACACACAGAGATAAACATGAGCTTTCGAAGCTCCGCGCGGACCTCTTGGATCCGCGCTGGACCCCCGCTGCCTTCCTTCGTGGCGCAGGGGCAGGGCCAGAGTCCCCCCTCGGATGGCGTCAACCATACGCCTGCGCTGGTACCGGCTGGGCCTTTCCTGGGCCAAGGATCGGCGTATGTGCATTGTTTGCCAAGCCAGGGGGGGGGCGTGTGCTCCGGTCCTGGGCCCAGGATGGGCCCTGTCAGGATCGGCGCATGTGCACAGTTGGCGCCCTCCCAGCCGCATCTGCACTCTCCCCCCTGGGGGGGAGCCAATGCGGCCGCCACTTGGGCCTTCGTGGAGGCCTGCGGGGGCTTCGCCCTTTGGGAGCCAGCTGGAGGTCTCTTTGGCACCTCTTGGATTGTTTTTGGGGGCCTCTTGGTGGTCTCTCGGGCCGCCTGGGGGTGTCTTGTGAAGGTCTTGGGGGCCCTGTTGGTCGTGTTGGGGGGCCTCCTGCGAGATGGTCGGGCGGTGGCGAAAAGCGTCGCTCCTCTGGAGGGAGAGGGGAGGAGGGAGGAGGAGGAGAAGGAGGAGGAAAAGGAGGAGGAGGAGGAGGAGGAGGAGGAGGAGGAGGAGGAGGAGGAGGAGGAGGAGGAGGAGGAGGAGGAGGAGGAGGAGGAGGAGGAGGAGGTAGGGGACGATGAAGGGTGAATGATAGGAGCAGCAGGATAATGCCAAGCAGTAGTAGAGTTAGCTGCCCGATCTGGTCTTGTCCCTTCAAAGAGCCCGGTCTTTCGCTGCGAACCCGTAGCAAAGGCATGCGCTTGGAGAATGGCACCGTCCGCTCGTCGGGGGTTCGAAAGGCGAACCGCACGAGCTCAGGCATCGCACGTTCTCCTCTGTTGCCTTTGTGTGCTCGTCCTCGCTGGTCAGCAGCACGGTTGCCGCGACTTCATTATTTGTCCATGCCAGGTCTCCGCGGCGAGCGAGGGGGAAGTGAGAAGGAGAAGGCCTTCTCAGCAGGCGGCGGTGCTTCTCAGAAGCCCTCGCGCCTTTGAGAAGTGTTCGGTGTGTTCGGGGAATGCTTAGACAATATTTCAGAAGGCCGGGGGACTTCCGAGCCTTCTGAAAAGGCCTAATCTTTCTCACTTCCCCACTCGCTCTCCGCCGAAGGTCTCGAGATAAGTTGATTCGACATGCCCAGACTGTGTACAATCGGACCGCTGGTTGTCGATCTCTCGGGGCAGTGCCTTCGTGATCGTCCTGAGCCACCAATCTTACTGACATGCATGTCGTTCTTGGCGTCACTCACTCTTTCTTCGGCGTCACTCCAGCGTACTAGTACTATGTGTATGTAGCCCCGCCAGGGGCGACTCGCGCACCGAGAAATCTTGTAGTATACGCGTCGTTGCGGGCACTTTCTGGTCGTAGCTCTCGGGAAACGATGTACTACAAGATGGGTATACTACATGTTCGGGTCGGACGCGCGCCTCCAAGGAGGAGGACATATAGTACTAGTATGTCTTTGTGCGTCCCAATGCATGTTGTTTTTGGCGTCACTCCATCTGTCTTGTTTCGCCTTTGCTTGCTTCGCAACGAAGTTGTTTGTGGGCACATTCTAGTTGCTCCTCCACTTGTTCCTCCATGCCCTATCATTCGGTCATTCTGTCGTCGACCTGGCCAATCCAGAGACAGCAGCACGATTTCCGCGTTACTCGCGAGCAAGTTCATTGCGCTGCCGGATCAAGGCGGGAGCTATTGTTGCTACTGCGTTCTTCGCCACATCAGTCGCGCATGTGTTTAAAACGTGAAGTCTCGGCTGTATATGTGTACGATACGGCAATAGCAAGCATCATTCATGGACATTTTTTTGTTTTGAATGTCGACGGTCGGTGGGCGACGTTTGGTATGACATGTCTTGTTGTTGGTGGATGGTAACTTCGGTGACCCATCACTGACGACATGTGCCGAGTGCAGGTTGACTGGTGTGCAGTTGTCGTCGTTTTATAAGCCACAATTGTTTCGTAATTGATATGCGATGCATGACGGTCTGTTCGGATGTTGCGGTGGTTGTCGCGCTGCTGCGCTTTCGACTACGGCATGACTCGGATAGTAACGGCGACTACCGGTCTGTGCGAAATAAATGACGGTGACACGCGGAGTGCGCCGGGGGATTCCCAGCTGCGTTCACATGTCAACCAGATCATCGCACAGCTGCGTTCTCATGCCAACAACATCGCATCACAGCCTCTGCACGCACAACTTCGCAAGGAAGATGTTTTTATGTCTGCCTCACCGGGCCGATCTTGCAAAGAACATATGGTCGTCTCTTTGTCTTCGGGCCTCTCCCTCCCCCTTCCCCCCCTCCTCCTCCTCCTTCCTCCTCCTCCTCCTTCTCCTCCTTCCTTCTGCCTCCCTTCCTCCCTCCTTCCGCCCGCCGCCCCACCAGCCCAACCTCCAGCCTCCAATTCAAAGTCCTCCGCACTCGTCCGCACTCCTCTCATCGGATGCTTCCAGCACTAGTCCCCAGAGGCCTCCGCTCGAATTTGATATCCTCCGCATTCGTCCGTCCACCTCCGCATCCCCCCGCACCCCCTCCAGAACCCACCACTCCCTCCTCCCTGCGTCTCCTTCGCCTCCCCTCCTCCGCCCCCTCCCTACCTCCCTCCTCATCCCTCCCCCCTACCTACCTCCTCCCTCCCCCTTCCTCCCTCCTTCCTCCTTGTCCTCCTCCTCCTCCTCCTCCTCCTCCTCCCTCCTCCTGCCCTCCTCCTTCCCTCCTACTGCCCGCCGCCCCACCATCCCATCCTCCAGCCTCCAATTCAAAGTCCTCCGCACTCGTCCGCACTCCTGTCATCGGAAGCCTCCGACATTAGTCTCCAGAGGCCTCCGCTCGAATTTGACATCTTCCGCATTCGTCGGAAGCTTCCAGAGGTAATCCCCAGATGCCTCTACTCCAATTCGACATCCTCCGCACTCGTCCGTCCACCTCCGCATCCCCCCGCACCCCCTCCCGAACCCACCACTCCCTCCTCCTCCCTCCTCCCTGCCTCCCTCCCTTCCTCCTTCCCTCACCCCGTCCCCCTCCTCCTTCCTCCTCTTCGTCCTCGTCGTCTTCCTTCCTCCCTTCCTCCCTCCTTCCTTCCTTTCTTTCCCTCGCCCCCTCCTCCCCCTCCTCCTTTCTCCTCCTCCCTCCTCCCTCCCTCCTCCTCCTCCTCCTCCCTCCCTCCCCCCCTCCCGTCCCCCCCCCTCCCCCTTCCGCTTCCTTCCTTTTCCCTCCTCCTCCTCCTCCCTCCCTCCCTCCCTCCTTCCCTCCCTCCTTCTCTTTCTCCCCCCCCCCTCCCCCCCGAAGTGCAAAGCGGACTCGTGGGCCGGGCAGGTCTGCGCCTCCACCCAGCTTTGCTCCAGGGGGGGAGGGGGGTTGGGGGGTCGAGCCCGATTTTTGGGTTTTGGCATATGAGTGCGAACATGTGGCCTCACGTGCGGGCGAGTACAATGGGACCGAACATGTGGCCTCACGTGCGGGCGAAGATAATGGAAACGTTACGGTGGCCTTACGTGCGGGCGAAGTTAATGGACACTCCGCCGTTCCAGGAGGACCCTGTTTAAGCGTATTGCAGCCCCTCGCCCGTTTCGTGGCACACCCCTCACACGTTTCGCCCGACACGCCCGACACCATCATATCAATAGATCAAATGCACGACACCACTATCTAATTGTATCCAGGGGTGGTCGTTTACGCACGCCCTGGTATGATGACGGTGGTAAGGACGACGATTATCATAATGTTCTTGAGCAGTGATCGGGACTGGCGTTGAAGGCCGCGCGCTTGCTCCGCTGGCGCTCGGCTCACGCCATTTTCGAGAGGGGCCTCAGGGGGCCTCGCTTTACTCGGCCTCTACAGGCGCGCTGTGGCCCGCGTGGAGACGCTGCTCGCGCCCACGTCTGAGCTGCCTGGGTGGCGCAGTGGTGCGGCTCCCCCTCGGCGCCGCCGTCTGGCCAGGCGCCCTTAGTGCCAGGGCCGCCGCGGGTGGTTCCGGCGCCCGCTCCGCTAGCGCGAAGCTGCTTGGCGGCCGCGCCGCCGCCGCCCGTGCAGGTCTTGGACCTCTGCGCGGAGATCGCCTGGTGCCCGCAGGCGCCGACGCGCCCAGCCTGGGACGGCTGCCAGCTGCCCCGGCCCGTGCCCAGCGTGCCCTGGGCTGGCCGAGGGGAACTTCGCGTGGGGCATCGAGCTCGGGTTCGGGCTCCTGGCGCTCCTGTTCTGGGGGGCCTTCGCTTCTTGGATGGTCGCGGTCCGCGGCCTCGCCTGGCGCCTGATTCGGTGCGCGCGGGCGGACGGCGCTTGGGCCCTGCCGCAGGAGCCGCCTGTCGCCGCGATGGAGGACGTCAGGTCTGATCGACGGTATCCTCGAGGCCGTGGCCGCGCTGTGGCTCCTGATTAACATCGGCGATGAGCTGCTGGTCTGCTACGCGGTGCCAGATGCTCTCCTTCGCCATTGTCGCGTGGTGGTGCGGGTCAGCGCGTAGGAGCTGCTGCACGCGGCAGTTTTTCGCTTGGTCACGACGTCTTCGTCGAGCATTCCACGGCGGGCAACGGCGACCTCGAGGTCTGGTGCCGGTGCGATCCAGGCGGCGCCGTCCTCGCAATGGCTGCAGGCGTGGCGGTCTACGACTTCCAGCCGCCCTTCAAAAAGCAGGAACTCTTCATTCAGCTTCGGGCCACTGGCGGATGGCTTGGTCACAGCGCACGACGCCCAGCTCCGCGCTGTCCCAGGCCCTGTCGTCGTCGCTGGCGCCAGCGCCGCTCCCCCATCGGCCGCCTGCGCCGCAGCGGCTGGGCCGCCACTCCCGCCTGCCGTCGCCCCGCCGCCCGCTGTGGGCGGAGCTGGCGGCCTCGGAGTCGGCGGAGGAGCCGCGGGCGGCGTTGCGGCGCTCATCGGAGTCGGTGGTGCTGGATCTGCAGGAGGGGCACTGGTGGCGCCTCCCAGGGGGGCCGCGGCTGCCGCAGCCGGTGGGGCCCCTTCCACGCCAGACGGCGCTGTCGCCGCCGCTGGGGCTGCCGCAGGGGCTGCCGCTGGCGCGGCCGCGCCCGAGCACGCTGGCTGGCTGGCGGGCGGCTCCCGTGGGCGGAACGGCCGCCGCGCCGGCGGGATCTGCATCCGACGGACGGGGCGGCGTTCACGGCTGCCAGATGTTGGCGGCCAAGTAGGACGTCAATGGCAAGATGCGCAGGTCGTGCGCCGTCGCTGTCTTTCTACTGGCTACGGCCTTGTGGAAACCTTGGGCCTTTCGAAGTTCTGGTGCAGTGTATTCGGTGGTGGTCCTCATGTTGGAGAAAGGTAGCAGCGCACCCGGGCATCGCTTGCGGTGGTGATCTCCCTTTCGGTTCTCTTTCGGCGGTATCGCCGTCACAACCCATCTTGAGTTTAGTGATATTTTCCCGACAACGCTGTGCTAGCTACGATCAGTTTGACATCAGTATGTAGCCTCGCCTGCTTGGAACTCGTTGTTCGCTAGGATAAGTTGTGTGAAGACTGCCGCCGAGATTGGGTCATTGGCGCGAGATCTGGCAAAGACGGTCGCCGCGATGAGCACTACTATCCAGTGGCCGTCAGCCCATCCCGCCACCGTGCGCGGGTTGTGGGTTATAGGCATTTAGGATGTTCGTTGGGATGTCGCGGGGGGCCTCTCGGGGGCCTTGTGGAGGCAGTTTTGAAGCCTCCTGTTTGCCATTTTGGGACCTTGGGCGTCTTTGGGGCTTCTTGGGTTCGGGCCTCTTGGGGGCCTCTGGGGGCCTCCTGGGAACATCTTGGGGCGCAAGGCTCGGATTTTCCTTCTTGGGCTCCTCTTGGGGCTGTCTTGGGGCTCTCTTGGGCCGTCTTGGACGCCTCTTGGCCACTCGCATCGCCCGCGCCGCGTGGGCCCAGATGCCGAGCTTCGAGGCGCCGCCTTTTGGCCCCGCGCTGCCCTCCTTGGCCTCCTCTCCTCTCGGTCCCCTGACTGAAACAGCGGCCGCCCGCATCGCCCACGGAGAGTGGGCCCAGATGCCGTGCTTCCCAGAGTGGCCGCCAATTGGCCCCGCGCTTCCCTCCTTGTCCTCTTATCCTCTCGGGTCCTCTCTCCTGCTGCCCTCTGCCGTCCCGCCTGATCCTCCTCCTCCCCCTCAATGGCCCTGCCAATCGTCGCTCGT